GCTCACCGGCACCACGTGGTCGAACTCGCAGGTGCCGAGCGCGATGGGCGCGCCGCACAGCTTGCAGGCGCCGCCCGGCTGCGCCACTCGCAGAGGCTGCGCATGGCCACCTTGCTCCGCGGCCATCAGCGCGCCCCGCGCCGCCCGCAGGTCCCCGTCCCATTCCTGCCACTGCGCGAACTCCGGCAGCCCCGACTCGCGGCGCTCCGAGCGGAAGCGGGGCCTCAGGCCCTCCGCGTCGTCGCACTGGTAGACGCTGCGGGCGTTCTTATAGAAGAACGCATGGCCTTGCCAGGCCGTGAAGGCCACCGCGCGGGCCTCCTTCTCCGCCGCCTGCCGGCTGGTAGGCGTCCAGGAGCTGCCCTTGGCAGTTCACGTAGAACATGGGCGCACCCCGCCAGCGGATCTCCTCGGGCGTGATGCCCCGCTCCTGCCAGCCGCGGTCGCAGATGGCGTCGAAGTCGGAGAGCACCTCCTCCGGGCCGCGCACAGCCTGTCAGGCCGCCGCTCGAAGACGGAGGCCAGCACCTCGTCGCCCTTGAAGAGCTGGTAGGAGACCTCGCGCTGCGCCAGCGCGGTCAGGGGCTGCCGCAGGCTCGTCTCCACGACTGTGCGGTCGTCGAGGCGCTGCGTGGTCTGCGAACTCAGCGTCCACTCCCTGGAGCCGTCCAAAAAGTAGACCTCCTCGGACAGCTCCATGATCGCGTCGTCCTCGGCCGGGTTGCCCAGCACCGCCTGCCGCACGTTGCGGGCCACCTGGGCCTCTGACAGCCCAGCTCACGGGCAGGTAGTCCTGGCGCTCGTAGCCCCGGCCGTTCTGGTAGTTGCCGTCCGACGCCGCTGGATGTAGTCGGAGGCGCCTCGCGGATCAGGGGCTGCGCCTCGTCGAACTGGCGGCTCGGCGGCCTCCGGCCCGCAAGCTGGTAGTAGAGCTGCCGGCGCGCGTCAGGGCGCCGTTGGGGCGCGTGAGCTGCGCCGACTGCCCGCCCGGCGCGGCGAGGGGCAGAATCTGAGAGCCCAGCCCCGAGGTCCTTGGCCTGACCCCCGGCGCGGCGAATCCGTTCCCGCTGCTGCGCCCAACTCATGG